CTATTTTTAGGAGAAAGAAAAACTGATATGGTCAAATCAACCTCTTTGTATATTATAGAGTAGCAGGAATACTGGTTGAGGTCAACATGTTGAAAGAGGTATAGAGGCGAGAGTGGTAGTGGCAAATGGCTCGGTTACCACGCGTGTGGTCCAGAATTCAAATCCCGGCTCGGCTACCGCCCAGGACAACCAAGCCTTCTACCTTCCGCTTACGGCTAATTGGTAACAGGTTCTTCTGAGGAGGACAGAAACACTGGTTTCTGCATCGGCTGGCTCCCGCCCAAAGTCATCGTATAGGCCACATCGCATTCAGTGAGCCACTACGTTTGACTCACAAAAATAGAACGATCAATATGCGCTCGTTGCCCGCCCTGCTGAGCGTCTCTGCGTCTCTATTGACCACATACTCATTAAGTAATGAAGATCGATGAGAGGTGTTCTCGACGGTCTTTTTTTTGCTTCGTGTTTTCACTGGTAGTTCAGTCAGCACCCACACACTCATAGCAGATCCCCTTGCCCATCAACTGCTACTGGAGAATATGGCCTGCGTGGTTTTCCTCCAGTAATATGGAACCTGTCCAAACTGGGTTGCTCATGATACCCATGATGCTTACGGCCTTTACGGCCTGTTCAGCTGTTAGCGCTTTTTTGGTTATATTTGTTGAAGGATAAGTGCCTCAAACCTACCTGCACTTTGTATTCGCCTCCACCTCCAGTTCGTGGTTGCGCGGACTCCACATTGTATTTCTCCCACATTGCCTGATCAACTTCAAACACGTGAAGATTTGCGAGGACCCATTTTTTAGCAAGTTGGAAAGCTTTCTGTTGCATCCTGAAATATTTTGTCTTTATAAGGCAAGTAGCAACGAGAAACTTTCATAGAAGAAGCATTACCTAGGATCATCGGATTTTCGTAGGCCTTCCACAATCATATGATTCAGAGGGCTCCATCCATTAGGGAAATCCCATTGTTGGCCACTGAGTTGTATACTGAAAATGTAAATACATTGGACCTAGGAAAGATTGCTCAAGTTCTGCTGCTGAAGGGGTAAAGGGTGCGTCATTAAAGGTGTTTGTTTAGATATGTTTGCTTTTCAGGACATTACTGCAGTCCAAGAATTACAGTCATGATCCCTGCAAAATATAGGGCGTTGACATCGGCGTGGTTTGGAGCTGCGGCAAATTTCCTACCATTCGCAGCGGGCCCAGTATGGCATCATTGTTGGAACAAGGACGTCCTGGCTGCGCTCCAATACGCGCCGCTTCACAAGCTCTATTGGTTGCAGTGATACGAGCGTATTCTTGAGTCCTTTTTGATCTGATCTTGAAGACAAACTGTAGACTCACTTCCCTGGTTTATTCTGGCACTGGCCATGGTGATTGGGTCCGCTGTTGCAGTGGAAGGCGTCAACGCAGTTAGGGATGGGAGGAGAGAGAAGTAGAGGCTGTAGGCTTATTGGAGACTGTGCCTTCTCTGTGGAACTCTACGTTGGTGATCTGGTCGTCTGCGCTGTAAGCCTTTGAGTAGCGCTCTGTAGCGTGCCTTTTCCTCCGCTCAAAAGTTCACGGGAACGTGGTTGGAGTGTACTGAAGCCCGTCTGCCATTCATACACAGCCCGCACTGCCAGCCACACGCCTGAGCATATTGAACGCGTTGCTTGTCTGCGTGCTCTCGTTTCTCGTTGTTCTATGTCGCTTAGGGCGGCGCGATGCTCGAGTTCATTATGAGGAGAAGTCCGATAAGCAGGATTCTACGTGCAACCAGTTCCCTGTAAAGGCATATGAAATCTCCCTACAACGCTCCGGGCAAGCGCTATGTACACATACAGTTCCGCTTGTAAGCTGTTGTCTTGCAGAGTGAAAGTAATCGTGGTTGCAATGGTTGCAAGTAATCGCGCGTCTCTAGCTTCTTTATCCCACTTTCGAGTGACGAAAGTGGTATATTCCTGCGATGCGAATCAAATGCACGGAGGCAATTTGCGAGCCTAAGATGCGGGAGCTGTCTTCAAAGCGTATTTCGCAGCGGAATCATGGTATCGACGGAAGTGATGCACATAGCGCAGGC